CCTTGTTTTTTAATTAAAATATCTAGAAAGGGAAAAATTTACAAAAAGAAGTGTTTAAAAAGTTTCATAAATTTTTAACTATAAAGATTCTACTAGACTACATTTTTAACGAAAAGTTATCAGAATTTAATTTAAAATAAAAAATCAAATAAGTTCTAATTCTAAAAATTAAAAACCTTCAACATTTGATGCTTGGTCAACACTACTAGTTTGTTCAATTAATTTATTAATAATTTCTATATATTTAAGTTTTGCTTCATCCTATTAAATTTAACATAATTTACAAAAAATTAAAAAAACCATAGATAATCCTTTATTTTTATTCCAAGAATCATATTTTGCTCTACCAACAAAATCAAGCATTCCTGGCTTTTCTCCTTTAACATCACCAATAGAAGCCTTTAAAAACATTTCTGTCACTAATTTTAAAAAATAACAACTTGTTTAAAAAGTCCATATAATTCTAATTTTATTTCATCATTCGGTTCTTTTGACAAATTTTTCAAGTCAGAAACAGCTTTGTCAAATAAAGAGGATGTATTTGATGAATATTTAAAACTTAAAACATATTTTATTATAAATTTAAAAATTACTTTGAATATTGTAAAAATGCATTTAATTGTAGAAAACTTCTTTTATTTGTTTTGAAAAAATTATTTAAGCCTGATAACATATCTGGAAATTCAATGAAAATATTTTTTAATAAACATAAACAAAGATATGTACTAAAACAAAATTTTAAAATTATTTTTTTTTTTTCGATAAAATTCAAAAACAAATTTATAATTCTATAAAAATTTTCAATTTAAAAACTGTGAAACAAAAAACCGTAAGTACAAAAATAATCATTACGCATAGAAATATAATAAAGATGAAGCTTGTTTGAAGGAAATAAATGTTTCTGGTAGGTAATTAAACATCATTGCAGGAACATAACAATGTTACCACTTCCAATTAATTAAAAATGCCTAATACTTGATATTATTTTCATTCAACCTGATAATTGTGTTTGACTTATTGTTAGATTCAACAGTTTTTCCTTTAATGTCTTCCATAATTGATTTTGGAATTTTTAAATTAATGGAATTATCGAGTAATGAATCTCTTGGCCGAATCACACGTCCTTCTTTTACAATAAGATTGTAAAGATCGTTAAAACTAAAAACGTTTTTAAATTAATTTCAAAATAATTATTGTATACCCTTCATGCTTTTTCAATACTTTTGAAGACGCAATTAGAAAAAATTGTCGTTTTGCTCGAGTAATAGCGACCTTAAAAAATTAATGAAAATAAAAAAAATTTAATTAAAAATTACATTCATTCGCCGTAAATTCTTCAAAAATCCAATGTGTTCCACGTTATTATTTCTCACAAAAGACATAACAATTGCTTCACGTTGCTGTCCTTGGAATGCATCTACAGAGCTAACATCAAGAGAATCATCAGAATTTGCCGCGAGTAATTTTTTAATTTTTTCAGTTTGCAAAGCATATGGAGTTATACAACCAATTTCACTTGAATGTAATCCTGCTTTTTTAAGCAATAATATCTGGTGTGCTGCACAAATAGCTTCACCTTAAATTTTATAATTTGTTTGGATTAACTAATAAAACAAACCTAAATTATAATAAGAAGAGGAAATCTGAGGCTTTGAATCAAAGAAGCTAATGGGTGACAAGAATGGATATTTTAGTTGTAATTCCAATAATTCTTCCTTTTCGATGTTTGCCTGTCAGAAATAATTGTAAAATTCTCATTTAATAGTAAAGCAGCTGGGCTATAGCTATTTCTCTCCTTTAGCTAGGCTGGGAGCGAACCAGCATCTTCAGTAGACCGGACTGATGTGTTAGCCATTACACCACGCCGCCTACTGCTCAGCCTTAGGAAATTAATAGCTATATGCTTTACATAATTAAAACATTTTATTATAATATTTTTTAAAGAATTTCAACAAAATACTCAAATAAATTTAAATAACCAACTGTATCTAAAAGAACAAGAGGGTCATCAATAAGTTGGTAACTATCATCTTTTGTTATTTGATTTATATGAATTTTCTCGGTTTTAACAGAAGCTATTAACATTTTGTCATAGAACTGATTATTTGACCATCTTTGAATTAATTCGTTAGAACGATAATTGACATTTAATGTAAAAATATAACCCTAAAAATAAAATTTATAAAAGAAAATTAAAAAGAAAAACCTTTTTATCTTTAAAATCAGACATTAATCGCTCTAGTAAAGAAGATGGAATAAAATCATCTGGAATACCTTTTTCTCTTGAAAAAATAATAGAATCTAATTGATGGTGATCACCAACAATAACAAATCTCTTGCCCTAATTTTTTAAAATATTTTTTTTTAATTATAAATAAGAAACTAGTAAGAGAATTTGCCAAGAAATTGGTTCTGTAACTTGACCAGCTTCGTCCAAAATTATCAAATCTGGGTTAAATAAATTCTGTTCTTTAAACCAATGAAGAGAAGTATTTGTTACAGTGCAGAAAACCTTGATAAAAAATAAAATTAAAATTGTAAAAATGAAATAAATAACAATAATCATTAACACATTATACATATGTACTATTATAATATCTAATATTGAATATTTTTTCTAAATTTATTTTTAAAGGAAAATTTAATTCTTTTCGGCTTATATTTAATATTAGGTACCTCTTATCAATTTTAGACTTTATTGACATACTTTTATTGCTTTTGTAAAATAAAAACAACAAACTTACAACTTCAATGTCCCTAATCAGCGATCTATTAATAAACATCTCAAGCTTAGAACCTCTTGATACAATATCACCAAATTTTTGAAAATACTCACTAAAAATTTTAAAGAATAATAAAAACAATTATAAAATTACCTATCTGCTTCATTAAATTTCTCCCTTCTATTCCAATAATCTTGAAGACTTTCATAAAATGTGTGTTGTCTAAAAATTGAAGCAAAATGTGTTGATGAGATATTTTCATTTATTTTTGTAAGTCCTAGACGCAGACAAACTTTTTCATCGATTCCACGTCTTAAACAAGCAATTAAAGCATTCTAGAAAAATATTTAATATAATCGGTGATTATGTTTGTGACTATTTTCCTCCCTCAAAAGATGCATAATGATCTGACTTTCTTTCCCGATTTAATTGTTTCGTATATCAATTTCAGGGGAGGGGAAAATTGTGTATATCATCCGAATTTAACTTACTTTTGATAATCTCAAAAAACGATTCCTTCCTATGATATAAAATCTACTCGTCTATTCTTGCTTTTTTGGATGGGGGGGGGGGGGGGGGAGCATGAAATATAAAAGAAACAAACGTAACTATTCCAATGAAATATATGTATAATTTTTTTTTATTAAAACTTACATCAACAGCTTTATTGGAAGGAGCACATACAATTATACGTTCATTTTTCTTTAGAGACTAAAATTAATTGAAAGTTATTCTATAGAAAGGAACTTCCTATAAGAAGTGAAATACTTGGGAATATTGATGAATTTTTGAAAAAAAAAAGGGATAATTGTTCTACATTCTCAAACATGTATTAGGTCGGGTCATAATTAGTGTCGCTTTTTTTCGATTAAATTTTTAGGGATGTTATTTTACAAATATTATTTTTTCTTACTAACCAACATAAAGATCTGAATCTACTCTTCATTTTAAAACCAGGTTTAGGTAAATATGAGTGATTTTCATAAAGTTATGATTTTTTTAACTTCACTACCTCGTAGTGAAATTCTCAAGCATTTGCACCATGAATTATAAATTACCAAAAATGGAACATGAGAAACAAAAAATCTTAATGATCTAGTCAATGGGATCGTTGTCTATGCTAGACAGCAAAGAATAGGATTTAAACTCTACTAGGAAGGCCGTATGACTCTCATAAGCAAACATGGTCGAGGGAGAAGGCTGTCATTAAGAAAACGGTCCTGCTCGGCCGGCTTAGATGGAATCCGGTAATTTCTACTGCTGAATTATCGAGGGATATCTGCTCTGCACTTATGGCCACGGGCTCTGCACTTATGGCCTTTTTTAATAAAAATTCGAAATTGTGCTCCACTGATAGAGCTTTTGAAGAGCTTTCGAATGATATATTACACTAACTATTATCATCACATATACCCGAGAAAATTTGATTTCCGGTGATTTCGTGAATTTTGATATTTTTGATCAGAACTCCCTGAATACCTAACCAAAAATTCTGAAATACTGTGATCCTTTAGAACATAGTCTAACATATGATTCGAAATAAAAATAAAAAAATTTTTCTGAAAACTTAATTTTAAAAATCCAAAAAACCCAAATAAAAAAAACGACACTAATTATGACCCGACCTAATAACACCAAAATTTAATAAAAATAATTTAGTAAGCACCTGATGAACAATTTCTGCAATAACTTTAGTTTTGCCAGTTCCTGGAGGTCCATGGATTGCAACAAAATTTCTTTTATCATTTATTGCCCCATAAATTGCACTCTTTTGCGACTCGTCAAATTCCTTAAAAAATAAATAAATAAGAAATTTAAAAAAATATTGTTAACCTTTTTAATTTTTATATTCTTCGTTTTGTCTCTCAAAACTCTATTAACAGTTCCAATCTTGAATGACTTTAATAAGAGTCCATAACCAGGATACTCTACTAAATTTTCACCTCTAAACATTTCCAGTAAACGTTCAAAAGAATTAATTTCCGCAAAACTCAATATCCATGTGCTGTTGACGCGGAAGGCATTTGGGCCTAGTTGATGGTCTTTTAGAATAACTTTTAGTTTTCCATGACTAAAAATTAAAGATAAATTTAATTCAATTGTTGCAAAGAAAATTGGTGATATAAAAGAAGCCGATTTGCAAATCCTTATAAGGCAAGAGTTTATGAGATAGAAAGACTCGAAATAAAATACACTCAAAATTTTGTGAAATTTAAAAATAATTATGAGTAAGTATACCAAAAACGAGACTAGTATAAAACAATAATGTTCACCAAATTACCTGAAATACACAATAACGGCTGGAATCTCAGTCGAAGGGGCATTTCTTGATTTCAAAATAACATGTGAACCATTTTTAAAAATAGAAGAGAATTCAGATAGCACGTTAGTACTCTCTAACTAAAATAAATTTAAAAAATATTATTTAAATGCAAAAAGAACCTTACGAAAGGAAAATTCAACAAGAACTCCTTCTGGAGCCTCATACCAAGAATTTAAAACAGAAAGGGAAAGTTCAGGGCATTTTGACTCAAAACGTTTTGTCGTCTCAGTAACTGAATTTTGAATAGCAGAATTTTCTGCCTTTAAAAATCTTATCCATTTTCTAATTTTTCCAGTAATACGCGAAGAAACCCTGGCATTGCCAAGCGCCTTTTTCTGTCGCTCAATTTCTTTCTTACTTAAAATTTAATTTTTATTGTTAGTATTAATAAAAAATAATAAACTAACCTCAATGCAGCTTTTGAACTTTGGTAAACAATCCTTGTAAAATAAATATCGTTGCAATTTAAAATATTTGTAGAACATCGAGCAAACATTAAAACCATTAAAAAGGCTATGTAAAGAATAATCAAATTTAAAAAATAAAAATATTGCAAAAATACACAAATTATATTTGAAATAAACAAAAAATTTTTTAATAATTTAAAAAATTACAAACAAAATTATACATCATTTTAAATATCAAAAATAAAATGCTTAAAGTTGTACATTCTCGGAATTTTCTTCTTCTGATTCAACTTCGTCCAAATTATCTTCTCCACAATATGACGGCATTTCTGAATCCTAATTTAAAAAAAAATAAATTCCTCAAAATATTTTAAAATTTACTTGAGCTCCATTTTCACTTTCTCTCATTTCATATCTGTAAAATTCAGTATGGCTAATTAAACAAAGAATAAAATCATGTCCTTGTTTGCATGCAAGCAATTCTTGAAGAGATATTCTTTAAAATAATCAACAATTTTTAACAAAATTTTACAAATCTAAACCTTCTATTAACGGCAGGCTTTACCATATCATAGAATTGATCAGTAAAATCACCAAATTCAGGCATTGCACCGTCCATAAACCAACCATTGTAAGCTAATCGAAGTTCAGTGTAAAAATAACGTAATTCATAATTATCTAAATAACCATCAGAATTTACATCGAGAATTTTAAAGAAATAAGCCAAAGCAGAAGGATGCTAAAAGAATATTTTATAAAAATTAATTTGACAAAAATAAACTTACAGCAAGATGATTATAAGCTATTTGAAAGATAACAAATTCTTCATAACTCATTTTTGAACCGCCATTAGAAACATGTGTTTCAAAAAGTCTTTCAATAAAAACTGATGTAAAAGAACCATTCTGAACTCGTTTAAAGTCTTCTTTGTCCAAATAATTTTTCTGCCGCGTATCGAACATTTGGAAAAGTGAATTCATTTCATGAGTTTTTTCAGGGGAAAACCTTTAAAAAATAATTCTTAAATGTTAAAATTTAATATAGAATAGAAACAAACCAATTTTCGTAGTCTTCAAAGTTGTTTTGGAGTCCAAAAGCTGTTTCCAAGAAGCCACTGACAAGTAAATCGGTAATTCTAATTTTTCCCCAATGTTTTGGATCAAGAAAAAAGAAACAAAAAGACTCAACAGTATTTATATAGCAAATCTCAAAAGTTTCCTGAAAAAATTTCTATAATAAAATATAATATGTAGCTCGGTTAATCTCTTCGAGACAGTGATCGAAATTTAAAAAATCAAAAACAACAGGTTTGAGCTACCCTATTTAAAATTAAAAAAATAATGAACTTCAAGGTCCTTTAGCACATCAACAGCTGGCATAACCTCACCACGATAGTAAGCAATAAATTGCTAAAAAATAAAGATTTTATCAGAATTATTTTTAAAAACCTCTCTGCTTAAAGTTCCATTCCCTGTCGTATCATATTTAGCCATAGCAATACGATTTCGAGCATAAGAAGCCTTTAATGTAATGTAATCAATTATTGTTCCGATTGGCACTTGCAAGTCTGAAAATGAACGTGGTGGCCATTCTGAGTGTGCGAGAAAAAATGTTGCGGGTTGGAGAAAGGAAATAATTGTTTTAGGAAATTGTTTTGACAAGGACTAAAAAAGAAAATTTAATTAAAAGTTATAATAAATAACCATTAAATTGTTAAAAGTTATGCTTTTCTGATCATTATCGTCATGTACTGAAAGTGGCGAGTTTTCCAAGCATTGAATAAATTTCTGAAATTAGATGTTTTTTAGAAAGTAAAATTCTGAAAAAAACAAACTTGAATATCCTCCTCAATCGGCATTTTTAATTTAGAAAATTTTGAAGCTGATAAACTCTTCGTAAGTATCGATGGAACTGTCTTCTGGAGATCTGTAGAACGTTTTTGAAATAAAACCATTTTTCAATTAAAGAATTCTTTCTAAATAATGGGACAAAATTTATTATTAAAAAACCCTTTTGCCCGCCCTTTTTTCTGCTCTGGAAGGGAAACGCCCGAATAGGTTGCGCCTACTCGGCTCCTACCCGCTCCAGAATGTCAACTGTCCACTTTTATCTTAACAACAAAAATTTTTTTTCTAAAATTCTTAAATAATTTTTAAAATTATTTTTTTAGTTTAAATGGGATTTTTCAAGCGTAATATTAACGAAAACAACAAAAAGCGGAAGTTACCAGCTACTGGCAATACAAGAAAGGGGAAATTTCTTCAACAAAAAGGTAAAAATGAAAGGAAATTTGAAGATGAAGAAATTCCTTCTGATGATGATGGGGAAGAAAGAAGTATTGATTTAAATCAAAGTAATGAGGAAAATTTAAATGAGATTGAACAAACTGAAGAAAATGATACACAATATGAAGATAATCAAACATTAACTTTTCGGGAGGCTAAAAAATTGGTTGAAAGTATTGAGGTTTTCCAACTAATTTATTTATTTTTTAAAAATTAATTTACAGGTTCCATCAGCTAGTCAAGATTTGGATGATTTTGAAGGAGTTACTGAACCATTAGAATCTCAACAAAAAAGGAAGGAAGAATTAAAATCTGTACAATCTCATCAAAAAATTGCCGACTCAATTAAAATTGATGAAAAGAACTCTTTTAGTTATCGTCCTCACAAACTTTCACCAATTTGTGTTTGTTTTTCGCATTCAGGGAATTTTATTGTTTCTTGTTCAAAAGAAGGATCAATTATAAAATGTTTGTTTTGATTATTTATTAAATTAATTTTTTTTTCTAAATTTACTAGATGATTTAAAAAAACGCTGTCGTGTTGGTGTTCTCTCTTCTATTTTATCCAAAAATAAGAATAATTTAAAATTAAAATGCTCTCATGTTGCCAATGAAAATCTACATAGAGGACGAGTATTGTGTTGTGAAATATCCCCTAACGATCAATTTTTGGTTACCGGCGGTTCTGATAATTTAATAAAGTTTATATTATTTTTAATTTATTTTAATTTATTTTTAAGGATTTGGGATTTTGAAAAGCTTGTTTTTATAAAAGATTTTGATGGACATCGAGGTCCTGTCAATTCTCTTCGGTTTAGACAAAAATGTGATTCTATTGAATTATTTTCTGCAAGCACGGATAGATCAATTATTGTGAGTTTTATTTTTTGTTTAATTTTTAATATTATAAATTTGGTAGACTTTAAAAATTTTTATTTTTTAAATTAAAAATTAATCTTTTTCAAGGTTTGGAATATGGATGAAATGGGTTTAATGAATAGATTATATGGTCATCAAGATGTAATTGAGCAACTAGATATTTTACAATGGCCAAGAGTTCTTAGTTGTGGGGGAATGGACAAGTAAATTAATTTTAATTAAAAAAATATTTTGTTAGTTCAAACGTTTAAAGTAAAAATATTTTTTTAAATCTCATTATTTTACTTATATCTAATTTCAATTTTAAATTTTTTTTCAGATCCTGTCGTCTATTTAAAGTGATAGAAGAATCCCATCTAGTTTTTAATGGTTTTACTGATTGTATAAGTATTGACTGTGTTGCATTAATTAATGAAGAACATTTTATTTCTGGTTCTGCTGACGGGTAAATTTTAGATAATTTTTGAACTCCTTCGACAAATCGCTTAGTTTTTCATTTCTTTCAAAAACTTTTAGTTCTTTATATATTTGGTCAATGTCAAGAAAAAAGCCCGTTTTTGTTAAGCGAAAGGCTCACGGTTTTCATTCAATGCCGCAAATCCAAAACTCTAACAACGAAATGGATGTTGACTTAATGGAAAATTTAAAGTAGGTTTTTATTTTTTATATCATTTATTCTTTTCTTTTTTGCTTTAGCACAAGAAAAGCCAACAAAACTGTGGGAGAACCAAGATGGATATGTTCTGTGGCTGCTTTGCCTTATACAGATTTAGTTGCTAGTGGTAGCAGTGATGGCTTTCTTCGTTTATGGAGAGTCGGACAAGATTGGAAATCACTCGATCAAATTGCACAATTTAATATGGTTAGTTTAAAATATTTTTTATAATTAAATTAAAAATTTTGTGATTTTCTCTTTGGCCTTATTTTTGATTAATTTGTTGGGTAAAAAGGCGTTACAATTAATGTGAACAAATCAGTCAACATTCTTTTTTTTTACATTCCTTAAATCCCAATCACACTCATCAAAGTTCTTTTAAAAATTCAACCTCTCTTCTTATTTTCACAAAATATTGATCAAAAAATTTAAACCAAAATCATCAATCATTTTTTGAATTTAAATATAACGTTTATTCTTTTAGTTTAGTTCATTTTTATCAGCAAAAATTTTTGGTTTAAATTTTATTATTTTTATTTTCTTACTAGAGGAGAATCCTTGAAAAATTCTTTATCTGAAAAAGTTTCCTCATTTTCTCCCAAAATTACTACTTATTATTTTGATTTTATGAAGAGAAATTCCCACTTTTATCACCCCTCTAGTTACAGGCCTGTTTTCTCCTTCATTTTGTATTTTATTTTTCCATTTTCCTCAATTGCATTTTAAGTGAGCGCAATAACCGATCAATTCACTCACTCTGTCAGCTGAGAACCGGTCAAATATAAATGTATATTTGAAAATAATATATCGCACTTTGTTGCTACTTTTATGCAAAAAAGGTATACAGATAGCTTTAATTTAATACGCTTGTATATTTTTGGAGTTCGCTTATTTTTAGATTTCCATAAAATAATGAATTATTAAAATTTATTTATTTAAAAAATATTTTCCCCAAATTGGTTCTGACACGTGTAAAATAATCTTTTTTTTTAATATTTTTCTTTTACAAACAAAAATGATGAGTAGTTTGTTTCCCTTTTCTCTTTTGTATTTTCATTCTAAAAATCAAAGCAAATATTTTTCTAAATACTTTATTCTCGTTTTTAGCCAGGTTTTATCAACGATATTCGCTTCTCATATAATGGATGTTATATTGTCTGTGCAGTTGGCCAAGAACACAAACGCGGTCGTTGGTGGACTTTGAAAGAAGCTAAAAATCGTATTATGGTCATTTATTTTGTAAGGGTCAAAGGTATTCTCGGAGTTTGTTTCCTATAGTTTATAGTCATTTCATTATTATTCATTTCCCTCCCACTTTTCTCACACATTTAAAAGGATTTGTAATCACCTTACAAGTGTCTTATTATTCTTTCACTTTAATAAAAGAATTAAATAAATGCTTTAATATTTGGATTTAATAAATATATAAATTGTGTGTTCAATTGTGTATGCCTGGTGCAGGAGATCAACTGGGGGCCTGATCAACCCTTAAGTTTATCCTAGGAAGTCCCGGGCATATTCCCTCCCGTATTCCATTATCTGGGGTTTGGGTCCACCGCATTGGTTATATCTTATTCCGGGGGTCCCACCTCTACTGGTAGCACCGGTCCTTCGACATCGACGTGGATAACGGGAGGTAGGTGAAATTTTTTTTTTGAATTTATATTTATTAAAACTTAAATTTAAAGGCCTAAATAAGAAAAAATAATTTTTGAGTAAATAATGTAAGACCCAGGGCATTTATAAATTTTTGGGAATAATAAAAATAAATAATAAAATTTTAAAAAGCTTTATGGTAGCGCGCGTAAACCCATGTATAGACTTCCTTCGGGAAATAAATGGATTTAAAATAAATATATTATATTTTTCTCTCTATTTTATTATTTCATAAAGTCTAATCTTCAGAATTTTCTTTCCTTCTCTTTCGGGAAAAAAAGAAAAAAAAGAGTGATCTTCTGGAAGAGTATATTCGTTAGTAATTTATTGGCTAGTCAAAATCTATTTTTGGGAGTAGATGTAAGACCAAATTCCTTCGGGAAATTCAAGGATTTTAACTATCTTTTTCTCTTTAGTCTTTTCTTCAAGGTCTATATTCTTTTAATCTAGCTATTTCCGGAAGTCTTAAATTTTTGTTAAAATAGGTGATGTCTTGGATTAAGTGGATATTTATTAAAATACATTTGGTTATTCTTGACCTTTGAACATTTTATATATGTGCATTATTAATGTATTTGTTTACTTTCTCATTCATAAATTCTCGTCCATTTTTTTTTATTCTTTCCTTTTAAAAAAAAATTTCATTTTCTTCCCACATTAACATTTTAACTTTACAATAGCCTTTTTCCTAAGTGTTTGTTAATATAGGTGTGATACAATCTTGATTTTCCTTTTTTCCACTTGTCTAATTTTTCCTTCCATTAAATTACAATAACTTTTCTCCTGCTGACTATCTTCATTTTAAACTTTGTCCTTCGAGAATATTTTTTTAAATAAATATTTTTTTAAACAATTTTTCTATCTTTAATATTTTAATTTATAGTCTTTATTTCCAAAGTATTTTTTTCAAATATCTGTTTAAAAATATTTGAACAATCCTTTTTAAATATTTACACTTATCAATTTAATGATTTTTTTTTCTCTTCAATTTCAGAATCAAAAAAAAAACACTAAATTTTAAATTTATTTTTATTTGGCTTTGGCTACTATCCGGATTTGAACTTTTGGAATTGTAAGTTTAAAAAAAAAACATTCCCTAAAAATATTATCAAATTAAAAATAAATTTTCCAACCCTTTTCAATTCTAAATTAGTGATTTTTCAGAAATTTGACTCATTGTGATTGGCGTTGACTTATTGTGACTGTGAGCGTGAATTACCGTTTTGGATTGGAAGTGAGTTAAAATTAAAAAAAAAATTCAAATAAAATTTAATTTTCTCTCCTTCTCTCTAAAACTCTCTAAAATCCATTTTTAATTTTTCTGATACATATTTTATACAGTATATATATTTTTTTGGCATTTTAATTATTTTTAAAATATTTTATTTTTGTCATTTTAGTTGAAATTTTTGTACACTTCTCCTTCAATTTCTACTTAGAAACTATGTTTTTAAGGGTATTTAAAGAAAAATCTAATTTTTAGAATATCTCCCTTAGTTAGAAAAATTATTAATTTTTCATTGAAAATTTTGGATTAATTTTAAAATGTCTGAAAATAAAATTTTAAATTTTTACGGCCTAGGATTTGGCAATGCCCGGTTATTTTACTATTACTTTCTAAGTATTTATTGTATAGATTATTTTGTTTGTTTATTAATTGGTTTTCCTTTCTAATTAGTTCCTTTTTCTCTCTTATTTTTCGATCTATTCATCTATTCAATAGTTTTTTTTCATTGAGTTTTTCCCCCTCTTACAGTAAATATTTTAAATTGAAAAGAGAGAAAATATATACAAATAAATTTTCTTTTAATTGGCTGAAATTAACCTGAGAGTTTAGAAATTTAGAAAAGGAGAAAATTTAGATTAAAAGCTAGAAAAGAAATTTTTTTTAAGAAAATATTTCTGGGATGAAATTAGTCGTAAAAAAAAATATTTAGTTCGGCTGAAATTGATAAAAGGGATTGTAATGGTTAGAAGAAAGGGAATAATTAAAATTTTTAAACCAATTTCTGATTATTTTTCTCTCAAACTTTTCACTCCATTAATGACCATCTAAAGTTGCTCTCATTTTATTTCCGTTTCATTAGTATAATTAATTTATTTTTTCTTCTTATAAACCTTCACACTTTAATGATTTTAATACGTATTTTAGTACTGAGTTTTTTTAATAGAAATTTTTAGCCGGTATTTATCGATAAAAATAGAACTAAAAGAAAAGAAAAAGTAGCTCTTTACAATAAAAACTTATATTTTTCCCTCATCTAAATAGGCTAAAATTTCTTTTCATATTTTGAAATAGTTTCTCATCGATGCGTAATTTAACAGATTGGACGCATTAAAATGCAATATACTCACAAATCTTTATTGTACTAACTTCATTTAAATTTAGTATACCAATTACATTTCTTTTGGATTTCTCTTTAAAAAGCTTTTCCTCTCAAAAAAAAAGAAAATTATTATTAGTTTAATATTACGTTTATATTAGAGGAAAACAGCAAATAAAATTTTTTTAAAAAAATAATTTTGAGGTATTATTGATCCGGTCATCATATCTGTCGAAAAGTTGGAACCATTTTTCTATGAGGGAAGAATTACTAAAATTATATAATTTTTTTATTAAAATTTGGGGAAAATAACCACTCTTATTTATTCACTCTTCGATTATTCAGAAGAAAATTCTGTAATTAAGAATTTTATTTGCTGTTTATTAAAATCATAATTTATTTGAAAAGTGTATCAATTGTGACAAACAAAATAATAATCTGCTCTAAGAATTTTAACTCCTGTTTTAATAGATACATTTTAATTTGAAGGAGAAAAAGAGAAAACTAATTATTCTTTTATAACTGTAATCCACTCTAACTGTAATCCATGTATTAAATGTATTTTTTTCCTTTCTTTCTCTCCTCAAATTAAACTTTGTTTTGAAGGAAAGTAAATTCCCTCATAGGTGGTAATGAAATATCTATAAAGAAAATATTTTATACGGCTTAGGCTACAATATGAGTAAGATTTGGGCTCTGAACTAGTAAATTCTGGTTTTAACTAAAAATAAATAATTCTAATAAGAGTATCTATAAATTTGGCATCCATGGTTGATTTTTTTTCTTTTCATTTTTCTTTCTTTCTTTAGAATCTTGTTATAACCTAATTTCAATTTTCACGTGGTAATTGAGCATCAAAAAAAAAAGTTAAAAAAAAAGTTATAGCAACTTTTAGATTTTTGAATTTATGCTTAATCGATGCTTAACTTAACAGACCGGACGGGTCATGCCGCTACATCTTTGCTAAATTTATTCTATTACAATGAATAGGATCTTCTATATTTGTTCATACCCGTTCTACTTTAACTGTCATAATATATTAAATTTATTTTAGAATCCTTACGCTAATATTTTCCGTTATTTATCGTTCTAAATTTGGTGTTTTATTTGGCTTACTTAATTACCTTCAAATATTTTTCCCCTTTCCTTCGAACAAGTTTAATATTTAATATTAAAAGTTACTTGTAGTATAATTATTTCTAATGAGATGAATTTTTACTTCACAAGATTATTAAAAAGAAATTCTGTTTTGAATAACAAAAATGTCATAATTTTCTTAAGATGTTTAAATTTTATATTGTGCAATTCTTTAATAATAGGGCTTTATTCTTCTCCAAAATTTCCCTTTAAAATCTAAATGGCAGCTCAAAGCAATATTTATTAAAATTGTTTTTAGAATATATTGATTTTTATTAAAAATTCATAAATGTCAATTTGTTAAAAAATATACTTCACTATAGGTTCTGGAATATTATAATTAATTAAATTTTCATTTAATCACTGGATCCCACATTTTTGCGAATCTCTTCTCTCAATTAAGTTAAATTAAATAAAAATTATTTTTACAGGCAAAATCTCATAACATGAATCCTTTTATTTATTGACTAAAAAAAAAATTTTTTTTTTGAAGAGAACGTTAAAAGAAATTATATTTTTAAAAAAATTAGTGGAGTAGATGAAATATTGTACCTATTGTTATCTAACCCCTCTAAAAAAAATTTCAATTATTGGTTTGGATTATTCTTTATCTTCAAACTCAAGTTTGTTCTAACTGAAAGAAAGAGATTTTTTCCATGTAGCTTAGGCCATAATATGAGAAAAAAAATGTTTTTAATAGACATATAAACTGGAAAATTTTTAGAATTTTATTCTACTATTAAGCATCACTCTAATTTCTTTCAAAAAAATTTTTTTCTCTTTTAACTATTTAAGGTAGTTTTCTTCTTTAAACACCTATAACCATTGTTTCCTTTTTCTAATCTTTATACATTTTATCACAAATACAACAATACAAACAATATATGGATGGAATAGCTTAGTGTGTATATTTGTGCATTTTTTTACTTTTACACATCGGAATTCATATATTAGAGGAATTAGTGGGTACAAAAATTTATATATAGGCACAGGTGCCAAATGCACACATTAAGCCAATACAGTGTTGCTCTCTCTCAAAGGTGCTAAGTTAATATACAGTGTACTGATTTTAATTCTCTCAATACAGTGAATGTAATTCTTCAAAAAAAG